TGACAAGTGTCACACTCTCATTGGTCCACTTGTTGTGCAAACACTTTGATGCATTGGATGATGACATTTGGAGGAATAGGTTGGAATCCAAGATATTTTTTATATAAATAAATGAATACTGAAATACTGAAACTCTTTGGAGGAATAGGTTGGAATCCAAGGTAGCATTATAGAGATATTTTTTATATAAATAAATGAATACTGAAATACTAAAACTCTTTGGCAGAGCTTCTGTATTTTACTCTGAAATTCTGGATTTCTAGAATTCTCAATTTCTGTACCCCTTCCTCCTTCCTTCATGCCTCTATTTATAGGCATCTTGGATGAATATGATAATGACATGTGTCCTTTTCTGATAATGACATAATCATAATTAGGCCGGGCAGGTTATATTGTGATAATTATCTATAAAAAATAACTAAAAATAAGAGTTTTATATATAATGTGATTGATTTTATTAGGTAATTTTTAGAGTTTTATAGAAACTAAAATTATCTATAAAAAATAACTAAAAATAAGAGTTTTATATAGAATGTGATTGATTTTATTAGGTAATTTTTAAAGTTTTATAGAAACTATTTTTACAAAAACTATTTTTATATCAATTAATAAATAATTTTTTATATAAATAAATAAATACTGAAATACTGAAATACTGAAACAGTGAAACACTTTGCACATTTAATAATAGTATAGATATATATATATATATATATATATATATATAAGCGTGTGTACCGCCGGAGCCCACCGCCGCATCACCGCCATCGTCGACCTCAGCAATGAGAGTACCTTCGCCCTCAAGTGGGAGGTACAAAACTACCTCCGCCCTAGGGACGGCGTGATCCTCTTTTACGTCCGCCCTACTTCTGTCCTCTACGGCGCCAATTGGGGCGCCATCGTCCTCTCCGTCGACTCCGATGAGTTGCAACAGAAGCTCAAGGACGAATTTGACAACTTCACCGCCGGTAAGGTAAGAACCAAAGTATTATTGTAAACCCTTCCTTCTGCGGCGGCGTTGCCACAATCACCAACCCGGTCAAGTTAAAATTTCGATCTGGACCTCCTTGTGCGACTCCGGCAACATTTTCCCTCTGTTTACTCCTCTTGTGAGTAGCTAGAAACACCCCAAATTGATCGGACTCCGTCTCCGCCTGAATATCCGCTGCCAAAGGATACCCCAACTCGCCGATTCCGGTTGAAATTCCAGCAATTCTTATCGCCGGCGTTTCCAAAATGGGTTCGCTGATAGAGAACGTTTCCAAAGTCGTCTTGCTACTCATGTTGTCGTGATTCTGGTCCATGAACTTGATGGCTTTTAAGATTGGGCTAATCATCAAATTCTCCATCCTCTGCTACAGACATGATCAGATTCGAATTTCTTTTATTATAGACATATTGCATTTACTAATCCCTCACTGGTGTCATTCGAATGATAGCCCAACCGATTAATTGGAGCCAACTCCATTTTCACACCCACAACCAATACTTTACTAGAAACATAAATTAGTTTTATAATACTATAGAGAGATCCATTTGCCTATTCTGAAGAGAGAGTACAGTAGCTTTTTTCTGTGAATGAGCAGTTGTATCACCAGGGTAGAATAAATACACGGTTTGTATGTTTGATCAGTCTGGGTCTTTTGATTGATTTTCAAATTATTTAATTAAAATTAGAGTGAAACAAATCACAAAAAGTAATAAATGAAGTCGAGAATATGGCTGGGGACGTTTCCCACGGCGGAGATGGCGGGCCCACGATGTGCAAAATAACATTTATTTCGTATTTAAATTTCATATTATATTATAGGGGGTATATTTGTCATTTCATATACACTTAATGGATTTGAGCGAAAATGGGGCATTACGGTCTATGGTTCAAAAGGAGTTTAATTTTAGTGAAAGCATTTTGGACGAAAACATTAGTACAGGAGTTATGTGATTTTTTCCCTAATTAAAATTGAAAACACAGTGTTCATAGAAAGAAATCTACATCAAGTACTTAATTGGACAAGTATTTTTGCCTGAATTTGTGTCCAAGGAAATTAATTGCATAATTTTCAACATAAAGACCCACATTTCCACATCAACTTACTTGTCTTTGCTAAGCGACGTGTTTGTACCATTCTCTCTGTTCAACACGCTAAATACCCAAATTTCAATAGTAATAATAGTGTTCAACTAGTATATTATTATTGACTTTTTCCATTAAGAAAATTTAAGAAATTTGAAGAGTAGAAGAGAAAATAAAAGAGATAATTTTAGGAATCACAAAATTTAAGGGTGGGCACGGTATAATTTTTTTCATATACATAAAAATAATTTAAAAAAGTACAACATATATTATAGAGTGTTGGCCAACTCAGGAGGGGCACGTTTCCCCCTAGGCCTTCATTAACTCAATTCTCGTGTTCAAACCTCACATGCATCCAAATAATTAGAATTTAAACCATGTTGTACATGGAAAGAAATCTACATCAAAGACTTAAATGGACAAGTATTTTTGCTGAATTTGTGTCTAAGGAAATTAATTGCATAATTTTCAACATAAAGACCCACATTTCCACGCCAACATTTTTGTCTTTGTTAAGCGACGTGTTTGTACCATTCTCTCTGTTCAACACGCTAAAGACCCAAATTTTAGTAGTGTTGAACTAGTATTTTGCAAGTGGAGTGGAGAATAATATCACTAATTACTAAAAATAATAATAATAATAATATAACTTTTTTTATTTTAATTTAGCAAACATTAGTTAGAAGATACGTGTATTTATAATTGAAACACATAAGTGATTAATAGAAAGTACCTACCCATCAGATATTTTAATTTATAGTTAAATTCCAACTTATTACAAACACACTGAATATAATTTCATAATAGGGAGCACCAAGCACTACTTTGAATTGTTGATAAAAGTTCATTTGTACTAAAAAAAATAAAAAATAAAATAAAATTATACAATAGTGTTGTGTTTTTTTTTTTATTTTTAAAAACAAACAATTTCCCTTGGCCACTAATTTGTTTTTTTCCCTAACAATAAAAACCACAAGAAATTATTATTTTTAATTTTAGTAACACCGATAAGCTACATTGACCTGCCAATGAATTGAATTATGATTAGTATTATGTCCATATATTCAAATATATGTTGAATAAAAAATTCAATAATTCGATAACATATTAACTTAATCAATTGAATATGGATTATAGGCAAGCCAACGCCTCCAGGGCCAGGAAAGGATACGTTGAGTCAAGAATTGTTTATAACATATTAACGTTCATTTGTACTAAAAAAAATTTTTTTATAAAAATCCCACAGTAGTGTTGTGTTTTTTTTTTTTTTAAATTAAAAAAACAAACAATTTCACTTGACCACAAATTTGTTTATTTCCCTAACAATAAATACCACCAGATATTATTATTTTTAATTTTATTAACACCAAAAAACTACATTGACCTGCCAATGAATTATTATTAGTATTCTGTCCAAATATTTGAATATAGATTAAATAAAAAAAATTCAATAATCCGATAACATGTTAACTTAATAAATCGAATATGAATTATAAATAATCCGATTCAATTTAAATTATATAAATATATAATATATTACACTACAATATACTATATACTTATTTAACACTACTTATATCATGCACGAGTTTATGTATTAACAACTATCCACTCCATTGATAGATTAATTTGGAGCCACAATTTCTTTTTCATATTAGATGGTCAGGGCCAAATTTTTTTCATCTTGTGGGTGGACCACCAATGTGGAGCCGTGTGCTTTGCTGCTCAAAAGTGTTGTTGGATTTTGACCGGCATTATACACATTTTTAGCAAGACTAGCTACTTCAACCGAGTCTTTGGTTTTCCCACCCTAATTATTCTCCAACAAGAAAACAGAGAGTGTGAACTAAAGTTTGGGGACTATCTGTAAATCATGGCTCTGCAGGAGAGGCTCATCCTTCTACTTGTGCATTGCCTTTGTATATCGTTAGCGATATCTCCGTATCTTCTTCTTCTCAGTGAAGCACAACCCGATACGTTGAGTCAAGGCCAACAACTCCAGTGTAAGGATGTCCTAACTTCTGAATGGGGATTATTTCAATTTGGTTTCTCCACTGTATATTATAATTACTTGGGAATATGGTACGTGAGAAGTCCAGAAAAACTAGTTTGGGTGGCCAATCTGGAAAATCCAGTTCCTGATTACTCAGTTGTTAGAATGGATAGCGATGGCATATTGAGATTGAGTTATAGCGGGGGGCAACCAATAAATATAAGTTGTAGTAATAAAAATGTAGTAACAACTGCAGCCACCCTGCTTGTTTCCGGGAATTTAGTGGTGCGACAAGTTTATAGTAGCAACGGAAGCAACAGCTTTGGACGGGTGTTGTGGCAGAGTTTTGATTACCCTACAAACATCTTCCTGCCTGGAATGAAGCTGGGCATGAACCTAAGGACTAACCAAACCTGGTTTCTTACTTCATGGTTAAGCGACCAAGTTCCTGCTCCGGGGGCTTTCAAACTGGGCGTGGATGGAGGCAGCAGCAGCCCCGAATTGGTTATGTGGCGGCGCGACCGTGTTTATTGGACTAGTGGTCCCTGGATAAACGGGAGTTTCGCAAATGCATCTGGGCTGACATGGGACACAAATAAGTTTGTATACAAGTTTGTCACCAATGAGAATGAGAAGTACTTTACTTACGATTATAAAGACAATTCTACTGGTCCAAGTGTGGCGTGGGTTCTGGAGGATGTAATCCAGATCTCTTCCATCAATTCTGGTTTTCTGAATTATTATCATACCCATTTTACAACATGGGATCAGGAACTGAAAGTGTGCTTATTTGACAATTCTACTGGTCCAAGTGTGGCGTGGCTAGAATTTTTGGACAATGAAAATGAAGCAAATACAAATAGGGTTGTCGGTACATAGTAAGTACAAGGATTTGATTCTGATAGAGTCTTATACAATATATGCCTTCTAAATATGTACATTTTCTTAATTACTCTGTGCAGTGGTTATATGTCCCCTGAATATGCCATGAACGGTATTTTTTCAGTGAAGTCTGATGTCTACAGTTTTGGAGTCCTACTGTTAGAGATTGTGAGTGGCAAGAAGAATACCAGTTTTTCTCATTTGCCTGGCCCTTTAAGCCTTATAGAACACGTAAAGTATCACAATAAATCTGATTCTCATCTAACATTTCAATTTGGCTGCATGAGTTTCCCATTTATATATATATATATATATATTGATTCAAGTCATGTATTACATTAAAATTCAACATTATTGCAGGTATGGGATTTGTGGAAGAAAGGTATCAGTGTTGAGCTAATGGATCCGTCGTTGAACTTCTCTTGTCCTGAAACTCAAATGCTAAGATATATTCATGTTGGTCTACTATGTGTACAAGAATGTGCCGTGGACAGACCCACCATGTCAGATCTTATTGCTATGCTTACAAATGAAACTATGTGTTTACCTGATCCAAAACAACCAGCATTTTATACTGGAAGAAGAACTCGAAATGCACCAACTTTACCTGTACAGAATAAGTCAGAAGATTGTTCGGTAAATCGTGTTTCTACGTCTGTGTTGGAGGCGAGATAGAGGCGTAAGTGGTCATTTATATAAGCAATTAAGACATTTTTCTAATGCTATGTTTGGTTGTCAAAAAAATTAAAGGAAGAAAATGAAGTCAATATTTGAATCAGTTGTGTTATGTAGTTTTTGTTTTTCAATTATGGAGAATAAATAAATGAACGTATAATAAAACATCCTAGTCAATTAAGATATGTGATTGCATTATTCTCTAATGAGGGCTGTATGTTTTTTTTCTCTTAACTAAACTCAGAGGAAAGGGCTGTGTACAAAATGAATCTGTCCCCTTCCCCTCTCCAAATGAATGTGTAACTGGGTAAATACTCCAATAAATATATATATATATATATATATATATATGGAGTTTTTACAGACTTGATAGAGCGACAAGTTCAGCGAGGGTGTACTTGGTATTAGTTGAGGTTTTTAGAGAATTCAATTTTTCTAACCTAGTAACCAAAACTTCCTACACATCTCCAGTAAGAGTAATACAAATACTCAATGACATGCAACTATTAAAAGGTAAGAAACACTAGACAAGACTAAATATGCTGATAGGTATGAAGATCTTAACAAATGCCACATATAATACCTTGAATCCAAAACATTTTTAGGAACAATACGTTAAACAAAGGAAATCAAAATTTAGGGCAAAAACAAAACATACCAGACATTTCCGCAATGATCGATGCCATTGGAATGGAATCGAGGAGAGAGAGTGCCTGAGAGAGAAGAAGTTGATCAGATGTGTCAGCTCGAGAGAGGATCGAAATCGAGATCGTGAGACAAAAATCGCGAAAGCCGATGAGAGAGGAGAGTAAAAGTGTTGTGTGTGAGAGAGTAAAAGTGTTTGTGATATGTGTTAGAAAAAATAAGGACACGTTTGAAGGTAAAAATGGTTTAGGCGGTGGTATATCTTTGACGAACAGGTACCTTAGTGCCTGTTTGTGAAATATCTACACTAAACCAATAATAAATTATTTAAGATTCAATTTATGTGGAATAAATGTTGGAGGAAATTTAAATAAATTATAAGTTATTTTTTGATTTGATAATATGAAATTATATGTTATATTGTTTTATTTTATAATCTTAAAATATGATATATATATATATATATATATATATAGCTCATCCACGTAATACAAAACAAAATCATATCTTGACAATAACATAAATATAATCAAATCCTGACATTGGTCCTATATATATGTTTGGATTTGTTTGAGGACCAATGTCAGGATTTGATTATATTTATGTTATTGTCAAGATATGATTTTGTTTTGTATTACGTGGATGAGCTGGCTAATAAGTTTAAACTAATTATATATATATATGTTTGGATTTGTTTGAGGACCAATGTCAGGATTTGATTATATTTATGTTATTGTCAAGATATGATTTTGTTTTGTATTACGTGGATGAGCTGGTTAATAAGTTTAAACTAATTTTATTTCATGTCATTGTCAGGATATGAATGACGTGCATTTGTTGGAATATGGCTATTTTATATTTTTATAACTTTCAGTCTATTGTTAGGATATGGATATGGTTGTTATCGGTTAACTATTGTCAGGATATGGTTAATTATATCTATAATGATGTTATGTGTACTATGATACAAGTTTGAGGTCTTAGGATCAGTGATTAGGATGTAGGTGTATTTTGTCAATTGAGATGGGTAGCTTGATTAGGGATGCGTGTGCCCTGATAGAAGGATGATTCATGACCACTTTTGTGTGCGATTTACATGAGATACTCATTACACAGTTGAGTCTACCTTAATTCAGTGAGAGTCTTTAGTGTGTATATTTATATAATTATCAACTATTTACTTATTGCATGAGTTAGTTATAAATATGTAGTTTTCTCCGGTCTCTGTTTGGGTTGTCGTAGAAGGATTGTTGTAGGTTTTGACTCACTATTATTATATTTTTTAGGTCCTCGTTAGTAGCAGGATTAACTGTTGTTCGTGCAGATCAGAGACTTGGCATCATCACTCTTCCGGTATCGTCGACGTAGGATTCTATCTTTGGATTAGTGATTTTAGTTATTAGACATTTTAATTATTTTGCAGTTATGAGATTTTATTAGGGGTCCATATTGAAGGACTCCTGAGTTATATTCATTTGGAGGTTTAATGGATTTTATTCAGAGGATATTATTTTATTTATTCATTTAGTAGTTTTCCTTTCAACGATATTATTTTATTATTTTTATTTTTATTATTATTATTATTATTTTGTATTCTGTGTTCGATTTAAAATATTAATTGTTTGATATCCCTTGGCTTTTGGGCTTGGACTTGATCAACCCACGGCCTAAAAATCAGGGGGTATCACACTAGTGGACACTTGTTACAAGGGAAGGCTTATCCCATATCGGATCAGGATGGGAAGTGATATGGATATAAATGGCTGGGTATGCAGCAGTACTAATAGCTTAAGTTTTTGGGTAAATGAGTAAACGCCTACCCGTTGCAGTTGATATCAGAGACAGATCAGTCCTTAATTCTTTGCCACGCAAAGTGCCCATTCCGAAAGGAGTCCGGTTGTGTTACCCGAATAGATAGGATAGCCCGACCATAACTAGAGCGTTACGAGTTCGGGTGGGGGATAATATTACAATGGAAAGTTTGTCCCACATTGGATCTAGATGGAAAGTGACATGGGTATAAATTAGTGGATATGCAGCACTACTAGAGCTGCAAATTAACCAAGTTATTCATGAACAGCTCGGGCTCGTTCGTTTAGTAAATGAGCCGAGTTCGAGCTCATTTTTCAAGCTTGTTTAGTAAACGAGCCGAGCTCGAACAATGTTAAGCTCAGCTCGTGAACAGCCTCGTTTATATAAAAATATATTATATTTAAATTATAATATTTTAAAACCCAACCCGTATATACTAGTATAGCCCAAATTCATATTTCATCGGCCAAATATGTATTTCAGTTTGAAGCCTAGTTAACATGCAGAGTCCATTTAATTAACTAAGCCCAGTAACCCAAATCATGTTATCATCTCACCCATTGGGTACATGTTAAAGGGATTTATATCATTCTAAGGGTTAGATAGAAACCTTAAAACGTAGCCACGTTTTGGCAACAACACAGCCACATTTCGGCAACAACACAGTCGTACAAGTATCTACCATGGAAATCTTTCACAGCATCGTCCTTGGACTCTACAGATGACATCAAGGTTAGCTCTCTCTCTTTCTCTTGGTGCATCGATAATGAATTTGAAGCTTGCGAAAAAGACGGCAAAGAAGACAATGAAAATTAGAGAAGATGGGTTTGATTCGTTTGAAAGTTGTGAAGAAGACAATGAAATTTAAAAAGATGGTTAAATAATTGGGGAATTGTGAAGTCGATTTGCAGGAGACCAGTCATTGTCAGGATATGGATGACATGTCATTGTTGGAATATATGGCTATTTTATATTTTTATAACTTTCAGCCTACTGTTAGGATATGGGTGTAATACTCCTAATTTTAAAAGGATAGTCTCGGCATTTTAAGTATTGTTTAATTGTATTTTTTTTAAATTATTTAATTGTTTATTTGAATTAATTGTGAATTATGTTATTTAAATGAATTATTTTATTTAGGTGTATATTTAATTGTACTTGTTGTTCTTTTGAATTGAATTAATTGTATTCTTTTTTTTTTTTTTTTAAATGTTTTGTTTAATTGTTTATTTTAATTATTTGTTTTCCTTGTTATATGCTTATGTGGATTAGTGAATTAAATGTTTTAATAGTTTTAAGGTTTTATTTTCTTCACGGATGTAGCCGACTTGATTTTGTAAGTAGGTTAGTTTTCCTTTCATTCTCTCAATATAATTAGAATTAGGGTTGGTATTTGTATAAGCCTATATATATACCTTTATACGTCTACCAAGGGTTTGTAAACCTTGTTCACGCATACAGAGAGAAATTGAGAGAGGAAGATTAGGGTTTGGCTTAGACTAAGACTGAACCAAGGAGGGGAAATTGGCTTGCTCGTGGGTTGAACTAGGAGCAACAGTGGTCGGTAAAAGCAGTAAGGTGGCCGGAATTATTAATGACGACGGTTTAAGGTATTGAACGGAAACGTAAAGGCAAGTCTCTGTTCTAACTCTTTCCCCTAAACCTGTGTTCTGTGCATGCCTAGGTAGACTCCAGGGGTTTAATTAATGCTAAAACAAATCTTTTATGCATGTTTAAACTATATTTAAACTTGTTGAATTAAACTAATTTGCAAATTCTTAAAGTTCTATTAACAGGTTTTTGTTGTCTTTGAGTGTACGCTTTGTTTAATTGAGATCGTTGATGCATGTCGATATCTTATAATTAATCTGGGATGTTGAATGAACACTAGAACAAGTATATAAAACATTACAGAGGCCCTGAGTATAGCCGGAGGCAAGAAAGACGAAGTAAAAACACATAACGGCTTTAGGGAGTGAGAGAGCAGGCTCCCAAAAGGAGGGAGCTAGCTCTCTCATTGATGGAGCCGGCTCCAAGGAGTATGGAGCCTACTTCCAACTCCTTAGAGCAGACTCCCAAGTTAATGGAGCAGGCTCTCAACTTATAAGAGCCTGATCTCGCCCAAAACACACAGTTTTGGTCTTTTTAGGGGTTGTTTGGGCTGTCCGGAGTATTTTTAATCCGTTTAAATTGCACTGAAGGATGTAATTAATTGTGATGGACCTATGAAAATATTAGGAAGTATTATCACATTAGTGTATTAAATAATGAAGCAATATAAAGATAAAGAAAAGTTTATATGTTGAGCACTGTTTGTTAAGTTGTTTGCTTACTGAAACTTACCAAATCTTTCGCATATGATTTAATAATATTTAATCATATTTCAATAGTGTTATAAGGGTGATGGAATACCGGCAATTAACTAGGCTTGGTTTGGATTAAATTGATATTTAATTTATTAAAAACGGTATCAATTTCTGGACTGTTTGGAGGACTTAATTGCTTAATATAATGCTAGCATTTTGTGTATGTATGATTAAACAGTATTAATCATATTTAAGCACTAAAATAAGTATAATTGATTAACTGAAACTGTAGTATGCTTATATGGAGTTAATTGATGTT